TGCGGTGCCCGCGGGATGCGGTGCCCGCGGGATGCGGTGCCCGCGGGCCGTGGAACTCGTGTTGCGCTTCGGGTTTTGCTTGCTGCTGGGTTGCTGAGCGCCGATCATGTTAGATGCCTCTCCTAGCGCGTATTTCGTTCAGAAATAGCTGGCTTTCCCAAACGTTGCTTGCGTGAATTAACCCCGTGTTGGGGTTTGTTTGTTTTTTTGCTTTTTTTTTATTTATTTTTTTTTATTTTTATTTTTTTATTTTTTTTGTCCGTAGCTTGTGAATGGCTGCGTTATTGTTTTGAGCGCAGCTTGCCCATTGTGGCACCTGATCCATCTCTGGCAGCCCCGTGCTGCTCCTCCATCACACCCGCGTTCTGTTGGGCTTTGTTGTGGGCTGCGTTTTGTGCACAGAGTTGAAGGATGCCGTCCTTGTGCCTCCCGCGGTACATCAGGGTGTAAAACATGGGAAGGGCGGATTTATAAATCCCGTTCTTGTATCTGTTCCCCTGCTGATGGTTTGTGGGTTATTAGCCTTCTTTTTTTTCCTGATGTGTGTGATGCATCCCTATGCAACACGGAGCAGGGGTAGGTAGAAGTGTGTTGGTTATTCCACAATGGAGGCACGAGGTTAAATGAAGAACAAGTTCCAAAAATAATAGCTCTGTCTCCATAAAACACCTTCAGTGCCACAGGAGGCCATTTCAACGTGTTAAATGCTCACTAACCAAAGTGTTGCAATGACATGTTCTGTACAGGGAGCATCATTAACAAAAGACTGCATCCTGAAGCAGGTGCATAAAGGCCCGTATTTTGTTTGCCTCTCATTGCATGTGGGTTTAATTTTTAGCTTTCTTTGATTTTCAGCATATTTGAGTAAAAGCTGCCGGTGTCTTTTAGAAGGCAGCAGGGCTTTGTCACCAGCATCAGGATCAAACCTTCACCATGAAGGACATTGTATGAAAACACTCCAAGACAGCATCTGACAGTGATAGCCGTAGTGCTGCTGCTTCTGACATCACTCATTGGGGTCATAGATGTGAGTCTGTGCAAAAGCATTTTCATAACGACGCCGATGGATAGCAATACTGATTCACCAATTAAATCCATGGGATATGAATTTTAGATGTCTTTCAGAAGCTCGTTTGTGAACAGGAGATGTGTAGCCTTTATTTTGACATCTGTAGGGTGTTTTTTTTTTTTTTTTTGATAAGTGGGTAAATGATATTCTGCTGATGAATCACTGACATACTTTACAGGATCAGTGTGGCACAGATCTTTTGATGTAGGATCAGCTGCTACCTCACAGGCAGTCATTTGTCTGTTGGCATTTTAATCGGTTATGGCTCCTTCGCACTGCAGTACATCCATGAGTGAGGTTATAAGTGCAGGCTGAGGCATGGGGAGCAAAGCCTTGGGTCAGAAATACTGCCACTGTTTCACTTTCAGTTTAAGTCAGTGAAGGCTGTGAAACAAACATTGAACAAACAAACAAAGCCTTCAAAAAATACAGGATGCCTCTAACAAGTCTGGATACAAAAGCTGCTCTTCCTTATCACGAGTCTTTTTACAGTAAAATAGAATGGTCTGGGTTGGAAGAGGCCTTAAGACCATGTAGCTCCAACCCCCTGCTATAGCAGGGACGCCTTCCCAGGCTGCCCACAGCCTCATCATCCAGTCTGACCTTCAGAGAGGGGGCAACCACAGTGCCAGCATCTCCCCACCCTCACAATAGGAAACTTCAAAGCATCTGTAGCATCATTGTAAATCCAGAATATTCCACCTTCACGTCAGTAAAATCAATCCTAGAAATGACTTTGTTGCTGAAGTATGAATGCTGCAGTTCTTGGTAAGTTTCATACATATAGAGACAAACATACTTCTAAAGCACAACTGCAGTTGATGCATCCTCAGCAATGCCCTTGGACTTCTGTTTTGATGTCAGGCCAAACTTTGCCTCTAACTTACGTAATGGTTTGCCAGTACACAGTCTGCAAATAATATGGTACATTTTGGGCATCTTAAATTATGTGATCAATCTTAGTGCTGAGCTAAAAGTATAATGCCTGCATCTGGGTGTTCAGCTCAGACTTTCTCCTGTTTCATGTTAACCGTGAATTTTCATTGCAACCCCAGAGTTTTTTCTCTGGCTGTTCAAACAAATCTCGTGCATCTGTTAAATGAACTTCTAGGAAGAGAGGGGGAAAAAAAAAAGATAGTCACAAGATATCCAGAGATGTATGAATATTCCAGTCACTTTATTAACGTGTGTAATTTTGCTTCTTGCTGTGTGAGCAACATTAAGCCCCTGGCAGTTAAGTAATTGAGTAATCACATCAATGTAATCACTGTCTGCTTAGCTGAGGAGTTGTGTGATTTCTGTTCTGCTTTTTTTTTTTGCTAGGTTCCTGTGCTGTATGGCCATCCTGACCAAAGGCAGCCTATGCCTTTAGGAATTTGCTTTTTCCTTTTGTAAGCAGTGCTTAAAAACATGAGTACAGTAAATATGAAATGCATTAAAGTGACAGCTCACAAAAACAATTTCTTTACTCTGGATAAATGCACAGATGCCACAAAAAGCCCTCGATTCCCAATTCTTAATGCAGAAGGAACCTCAGGCAATTGATGGCAGCCTGTAAATACATTAACTTTGAAATTTCTCCTTGGTCACCACCTGCTGCCTTTTCATATGGCTGAAGAGGAACACTGGTCTATTACCAGTATGGCTTGAGAACGAGCCCTCCTGTCGTGGCTAATCACCATCTTATTGCCAGCAGCTCAGTTCCCAATTGTGGTTCCTGGTGGGCTGGGGGAAACATGCACATCCTTTGCAGTACTACTGCCTACATTAAGTGCACAACTTTGGTTTTTACATCATCTTTCTGTCCTTTTTATGGCATTTAGTCATCCACGCAATTACAGTTTTAAAACAACATAGCCTACAGCTTAATATTCAATGTCAATTGCATGAGAATGTTATTTGCACTACTCTTCTGCTGCCTCTCGAGCATACACTTCTAAAGCAATTCTGTTTTCCTGTGTGAATTAAGTTATGTATTGCTGGTACCAGTGTTGGTTGAAGTGATGGCAAGTAATTGAACAACGCCAAGTCCCACTTTGAATTGAAGAGACATACAAATCTGAGGTGTATGATGAATGTTGATTACCTTCTGGAAGTCAAACACCTTGAGAGATGTGGTTCTTCAGTAACGACTTCTTCACATTTGAATGGGAACAAGCTCAGGTTACGTGAGTTTTTTTTGTACTGCTGTTTTGCTCAGAACTGTGTCAGATGCAGGAGCTGGAAGTGACACCATTAATAAGAAAGCAGCTGTGGAAAGTTCCCACAGTGGTTTGTGAGCCTATCCAGTGTTTGGAGGAAGGAGAGATGAGTTATGTATGCTCTCTGAGGCTTTCTTGCTGAAACCCAGTAGTAAGGATGCTCGTTAAGGATGCTTATTACTATAGACAAGCTTAGAAAGTTCTCAGTTCAGTGAGTTGAAGTTGAAACAACTGCTTATTAGGCTGCATAGCAAATTGCATTATGAATAATACAAGCAATATCTTAAAAAAAAAAAAAAAAAAATCCATGTTACATCTTCATCTGGAATACTGGTCTATGTAATTAAAGAACATGACAGGTCTAATTTTTGGGGGGCCTTTTTGTATTCTCCATCCAGTGAAATTGGATTTTCCATAACGTCGTGTCTTGGAGTATCAGGAAGATTTAACCTCTGAAATACTTAATGCTGGAACTTGTCCTTAGCATAAAGGTAACTGTGCAGGGGCAGTTGGAGTGCTGCAGCTTCACAGGAAATGCAGAGCTACCCCATAGTTATGTTCCAGAGCTATGTATTTATTCCTTGGCCAGGCATGATTACTACTGGTATGTTCCCAAGTGTTTGAAAGATTCACTTTGACTGGTGAGTCAATGTGTAATTGCCCAGCAAAGATAAATTGTATGTGGCTTAAGGGAAGCCCTCATCTCAGACCTGTCTGTAGGCTGCTGGCCAGCAGGTGTAACTTACACGATGCAAATCCTTCACCATCTGTGTGCTGGAACAAAGCATTTACCTGGATTTGTTGCTTTGTCGTTTTGTTTCAGCTGGTGGAACCAACAAGCAGCAGACAGGAGTTGTATTAAAGATGGAAAAAACCACGTTGATTTCAAAGCAGTTCACTGGGTCTCAATCCCTCCTACCCAGTGTGAGAAGCTTCTCATTGCCTGCACGACTTTCTCTCCCTGCATCATGAGGATCTCTAATTACATGGCCATGTATGGTTCCTTCCTGCATTGCTTTCACTGCATAACTAAAATTAGTGGGTAACCACAGAGCAGGTATTTCCTAGCTCTTGAGTTATTGGGTCCAGAACCCAAACACCACTTCCTATCTTTTTTTTTTTTGGTGTTTTTTTCCATGATATTTTTTAACCTGTTACTCAATAACTACATTTGCAGCCCTGTGTTTTTACTGGAAATGATGTTAATTTACTGTGTCCCTTCAGTTGTCTATTCCAGGCTGATAAAAACACATTCTGCATCATCTTCTCTTACGTGTGCTTATGTTCTCTGTGTGTTTGGTGCTGAATCTTTTCGGAGATAAGCTAGGAACTGCATGCAGCATCAAAACATGGGTGTTCCCTGCTCCTGGCATCGTTTTCTGCCTTTGGGCTTGAGTTGCATTTTTCAGAACTTAAAGACCAAAGTAATATGACTGCATCAGTGTGAGCTGTGAAACATCAGTGTATTCACTTAAAAGTAGTCAAATACAACATCCTGAAGCTAGAGAAGGATGTGAAAGTGAAATCCTCACAAAACTGTGCCTAAGACC